AATAGAATATTACAGAACAGAATAGAATAGTACAGAATAGAATAGAAAATAGAATAGAATAGAGTAGAAATGAAATAAGAATATAATATAATAGAACAGAATAGAAGAGAATATTATAGAACAGAACAGAACAGAATAGAATAATAAGAGTTGGAAGGGACCTTGGAGGTCTTCTAGTCCAACCCCCTGCTCAGGCAGGAGACCCTATAGGCTTTCATGCCTGAGCGGGGGGTTGGACTAGAAGACCTCCAAGGCCTCTTCCAACTTTATTATTATTATTATTATTATTATTATTATTATTATTATTATTATTATTATTATTATTATTATTATTATTATTGTTATTATTATTATTATTATTATTATTGATCATCACACAGTCAGCCAGATGTTCAGACTGGATTTGGCGTTTTTGTCTACCTATCCTTACCAAGGACCTGGGATAGGCAGATGTGGATGTTTGATGGTATTATTATTATTTATTATTATTATTATTCATTAGACATGAACCTCAATCAACTGAACATTTCAAATTGACTGGCACTGATGGCTGACACGGGTTGCTGCCAGCATCCTAGGTATCAACCAGGTACCTCCTTAAAATTATTATTATTATTGTTACTACTACTACTACTACTATTATTAACTTATAACTACAAGGGAGTTGTAAATTTCTGTAACTGAGACAGAGGCTAAGTGAGTTTTGCCCCATTTTACGACCTTTCTTGCCACCGTTGTTAAGCGAATCACTGCGGTGGTTAAATTACAAACACGTCGTTAAGTGAATCCAGCTCATCAGAAGGTCGCAGAACGGGATCACGTCACACCCCCCCAGGGACTCTGCGACCGTCATAAATACGAGTCATGTTGCCAAGCGTCCGGATTTCGATCACGTGACCCTGGGGAACGCTGCGACGGTCGTAACTGTGAAGAACGGTCAAGTCCCTTTTTTCAGGGCGGTTGTTAACTTTGAACGGTCACTAAATGAACTGTTGGTTAAGCCGAGGACCACGTTTTATAACCGGTCTGAAAGTCGACTCAGAACAGAAGACGGAGCGAAAACAGTTGAAAAATAAACCGAAGGCTTGGAATTTTCGACTAGGCCTTGACCTTAATTCAGCCCAAACTTCAGAGCGTTGTGAAGTGAATTCTGCCCCATCTTACGACCTGCCTTGTCACGGTTGTGAGGGCGAATTGCTGCCATTGTTAAGCGAGTCAGCCGTTCGTTAAGCGAATCTGGTTCCCCCCATCGACTTTCCCGGTCGGAAGGCCGCAAAAGGGGATTATCACCACAACCGTCCTAAGTACAAGCCAGTTGCCAAGCATCTGAATTTTGATCCCGTGACCCACGGGGACGCTGCAACCGTCCTAAGTACAAGCCAGTTGCCAAGCGTCTGAATTTTGATCCCGTGACCTACGGGGACGCTGCGACGGTCGTAAGTGCGAAACACGGTCCTAAGTTGTTGTTTTTCAGCGCCGTCACTGTGCGAACGGCGTTAAGTCGAGGACCGGAGGGCGTTCCCCCCCCCCAAAATCCTCCATCTGCCCCTCTCCCCGAATAAAACGACCACCTCAAGCGCCAGGAACATTTAATGTGGCTTTTATTTACACTGGCATCGAGAACAACAGAGTGGTTATTATTTTTTTGTCAAATTTAATACTTCTTACAAGTCGTGAACAACCTGTGGATTACAGTGGTTGAAGTGAGACAAATAAAATTGCTTTGAAATCTAGGACTCTTGAAGTCAAGTCAAACCCCCCCCCTCGTTCCTTTCTCTCCCCTCCCCTTCCCCTTATGGGGGGGTCTGCATCCAATCCCCCCCCTTCTGCTTGTGTCTTCATTTGGGGCAGAAACTGTGTGAAGACGTTCCCATCCATAGCAGTTGGCAATCAAGCTTTTCCCCGTAAAAACAATTGAATAAAAACAAAAATGCAAACAAAACTGTGGTTCTGAGGCACCCCGAATTCCCCAAAGAAAGACAATAAACAATACAAAAAAAAAAAATAATAATCAGGAGGAACCGATGTAAAAAGGTTCCGGGACGTTACCCCCCCAAAAAACAAAACAAAATAAAAATACGTACAAATCTCTACTTACAAAACTTTTTTTTTTTTTTTAACCTGGCGACGCACGAAGGCAAAAACCTGCAAAGGGGAGGAGGATTTGAGGGACGGAGGGAGGCCATCGCTGCGAGGCTGGCAGCTCCAAGGAAGGCGGAGGAAGAAGGCAGAGGAACGGGATTTCAGCCTCGGATGGCAGCCCCGGAGGAGTGGAAAGGCAAAGAGGGAAGGCTGTCAGCCACGTTTCTCAAAGCCAATAAAGAGATTTTCTTTCACAAAGTCCCTTGAGGTCTGCAACCCGCCTGCAGTGGAGAATTCACCTTCCCAAAGATTGAATGGAGGTGGAGAAAGAGAGAAAGAGAGAAAGGGAAAGGAAGGAAGGAAGGAAGGAAGGAAGGAAGGAAGGAAGGAAGGAAGGAAGGAAGGAAGNGAGGGAGGGAGGGAGGGAGGGAGGGAGGGAGGGAGGGAATGATTGAGGGACGGAAGGAAGGAAAAGATGAAGATATGAAAGGAGGGAGGGAAGAAGGGAAGGAGGACGCACAAAAGGAAGGGAGATAGAAGGAGAAAAAAGACAGGAGGAAGAGAAGGAGGAAGGGATACAGAGAAGAAAGCAGAGAGGGAGGAAGAAGGGAGGAAGAAAGAAAGAGAGGGAGGGAGGGAGGGAGGAGGGACAGAAGGAAAGGAGGTATAGAGAGAGAAAAGAAGGGAGGGTAGGAGGAAGGAATGGGAGTAGGGAAGAGAAAGGAAGGCGAGAGGAAGGAAGGGAGGGAGGGAGGAAATGGTTGAGGGAGGGAAGGAAGCAGGGAAGGAAAAGATGGATGGAGATATGAAAGGAGGGAGGGAAGGAGGATGCACAGAAGGAAGGGAGAGATAGAAGGAGAAAAAAGACAGGAGGAAGAGAAGGAGGAAGGGATACAGAGAAGAAAGCAGAGAGGGAGGAAGAAGGGAGGAAGAAAGAACGAAAGAAAGAAAAGAAAGAAAGAAAGAGGGAGGGAGGGAGGGAGGGAAGGAGGAGGGACAGAAGGAAGGGAGGTATAGAGAGAGAAAAGAAGGGAAGGTAGGAGGAAGGAATGGGAGTAGGGAAGAGGAAAGAAGGGAGAGAGGAAAGAAAAAAGGAAAGGAGGAAGGAAGAAAGGAACTGAAAGAACAGCTGGTGTAGGACTGATAAAGCAGCCTCAAAGTTCCCCTACATTGAAATGTTCAAAAGAAGCTGGGGGGGGGGAAGGAGGGGGGGGGTCAGTTGCTAAGGGCTCTCCTGGCTGTGGATCAGGGCCATCCACACACCAACCCCCCCCTCCTCCAGTCCTAGGCTACCTTCCTCGTGGGCTACTCCTCATATCCCACCCCCCAGGAAATACAACACGACCGTAAAACTCTGAACATGCACGAGGGCCTTGAACTCAGATAAGGGGGCCAAGGCTTAAGTGGCAGAGCTGATGCTGTGGCACTCTCAGCTGGGTCAGCCAGAAGTGACTTTGCACGGTGTGAGCAAAAACACCACAACTGCGGAAACACAACAGTGGTTTTGTATTTGTGTGAGCAAAGACACCACAACTGTGGAAACGCAACAGTGGTTTTTTTTCCTCCAGAAGTGACTTTGCACTCGTGTGAGCAAAAACACAACTGTGGAAACACAACAGTGTTTTTGCATTTGTGTCAGCAAAGACACCACAACTGTGGAAATGCAACAGTGGTTTTTTTTTTCCCGCCAGGCAGCCTGGGGGATTCTGGGACATGGGAAGAAGCATCTCTCAACCCGTGTGACCCACGTAAGCGATTCCAGCTACTCTCGGATGAGCCTCAAACTTCCCAGCACGGCGTGCCTATTGCTACTAGGGGCTGTTGCTACTACACGGTGTTGCTACTAAACCTATGTGGGTATTGCAGCTAGGGTGGGGAAGGAAAAAAAAAAAGAAAAAAGCAGAGTGTCCATTTTTTCCCGCTGCAAAGCAACGATCCGCAAGGATGGCGAGAACTGAACACGAAGCCGTGCGCACCTCACCCTGGTGCCACCGGCTTGTCGACAACCTGGCTTCCCGTCAATTCAGCAGTTGTCTCCTGGATACATGGAAGGGGACTATCCTACCCATGTGTCTGCAACCAAAGGGACCAGGGAGCTGCTGAATCCCCTACCGCACATCCCGTCTGTCTTATCTGGAAAGTTCTCGTCTTCCGATTTGAAAACTCAGAAGCAAAACGTGGTCAACCGAAGTTGACTTTGAACCGACAACTTTTAAGACTTGTGGACTTCGGCTCCCAGAATTCCCTGAATCCTAAGCCTTCTTTTAGAGGTGTATCCCCATGGTGGCCTGCTTACTCTCTTATCATCCCTTTCTCTGCGGTCTCTCCACTCGAGGAGGCAGGAGGAAAAACATAGGCACGGCTGGCTGGGGAATTCTGGGAGTTGAAGTCCACAAGTCTTGGAAGTGGCCAAGATTGGACAGGGCTGCTCTAAAGTGAGGCTGCAATTCCGGGAAAGACCTGGCCACAATTACAGCACACGGTGCGTGTGCGAACAACAAAAACTGGACGGTGTGTGTATCTCCCACAAAAGACGCACTCAAGTCAGCCAAAGAGCGGTAATTTGCCAGATTTTTCTGGGGTGGGGGTGGTGGGCTGCCTTACTTTTCACCGTAAAAGGTACCCAGCCCTCACACCTGCACACATTCACACACACACACACCCCAGCTGTGATTTAAAACACAAACACAACGGCCAGCTTTTAAAGCCAAAGCAAAAACAACAACAACAACCGCTTGAAGGTAAAAAAAAAAAGCTACAGGTCGCGAGTGAGTTCGTGGCGTGCGCCGCGCTCGGCTTCCCTCCCACCGATTCGGGGAAGGGGTGTCAGAACAGAAATCAGGGGAGCAGGGTGGGGGGGGAAGACCCTCGGGGTGGGGGAGGGTCTTCGGGCCGGCCGGAGGAGGGGGGCGTGGCCTTCACTCCCCTTCCTCCTTGATGCGCTGCTGCTTGTTCCGGCGGGCGTCCAGGTCGAAGTTGAAGTCGTTCCAGTCGTCGCGGGGCGGGAAGGAGATGGTCTGGCGGAGGGTGAAGCGCACGGCGTCGATCACCCGCTCGCCCCGGGCCTCGCTGGAGCCCACGCTGACCGTAGAGGCCCCGCTGGGCGTGCGGAGGAGGTGGGGCGGGGAGGAGAAGTCGTGCAGCTGCCGGTAATCCAGGAGGCCCTTCCAGATGGCGTGGCGGAACTGCTCCGGGATCTTCAGGCTCACCAGATCCTGGAAGGAAGAGAGGGAGAGAGAGAGAGAGAGAGAGATTCAGCACCACCGGGAGAGTCGGAGGACGTCCCTCCCTTCCTTCCTTCGTCTTCTCATCTCCTCCCGTCTCCTTTTCTCTTTATCTTTTCCATTTCGTTCCTTCCTTCTCATTCCCTTCCTTCCTTCCATCATCTCCTTCCTTCCTTCCTCTTCTCATCTCCTCCCATCTCCTTTATTCTTCATCTTCTTCCATCTCCTTCCTTCCTTCCTATCTTCCTTCTCATTCCCTTCTTTCCTTCCATCATCTTTCCTTCCTTCCTTCCTTCCTTCCTTCCTTCCTTCCTTCCTTCCACCATCTCCTTCCTT